ATCATTAACTAAAAATGAAGATGCTATAAAATTTTAATATAATTTTAATGAGCATTTTCACTAATTAAAAAACACTTAAGGTACCTACAGATTTATTGTTAATTACAAAATAAAGTAAATTTTCCGTAGGAATAATAGAAATTCGTAGTAGTCGCCGATATTTAAGTAAATTAATTATTTTACATAGATTTTACCCCAATTTTAATATTTGCACCAACTAATTCTAACTATAATGAATAGTTGTTTAATTTTTTTACTGATCTATCCTGTGTCTTATGTAAGGTATACATTTTCAAGAACTTCATAATTACTTCTGTTTCAGGCAAATCCACCAATGTTTCGAGTAATCATCGTAATTTGGCTTGCAGAAAGGTGTAATTTAATTTTGAATGATTCCAGATTTTGTACGTTCCGTTTAATCTTTCTAGTCTTTAAGTTGTTGAAGTTTTAGCTTAGAATATTGTAATATAGTTACTACATTATTTAATTAGGAGTTTCGAAACCAAAACATTTGCTATAGCAATAAGAGTAAATAAAAATTTTGTTCTTAAACATGTGTGATATTTAAGATTTTTGAAATTTACTTTAATATTTAACTTTTAGAAATGTTATTGTGTATTAGTGTACAGAATATTTAAAGATAAGTTTTCTGTAAAACAGAAAACGCATATTTATTTGGGCATTTTAAAAATTAAAGTGCCACTTTTTCTTAAACAAATTGTTTATATTTATATTACCCGATTTAGGGGTCTGTAACTAATTCTGTATAAAATATTTTGAAAAAGTAATCGGTTATCAAGAACTTCTACTGATATTAGGTTGTCTAGTGGACTAGATAGTGAAATTAGAAGACAGAGTATTGTTCTTATATAGAGAAGAGCACAATCAGTAGCGTTTTGAGAGGCCTAAGTGTATCCTTCACTTTTGAAGACAGTACCTTCTTAATGTACCTGCTGCACCAAAATTTAGAACTACACATCTGTTCATTAGAGATCGTAGGTACTGTACTGCACACCCGCGAATTAACAATTACCTAGGCCCAACCAATGCTTTCTCGACTTGGTGCAAATGCATTAATTTTATAAACGATGGTAAAGTCCCAAAGTATCAAATCAGGTGATCTCGGTGGCCATTCTATTTAAATTTCCTCTCCTTTACTGTGTAGCGTACAACCAGTGAGTTCTTAGTGTTTAGTGAATTAATGCACATGCACCAGGAAACATTCCTTGTCTTCCGACACCGATCTACCCCTAAACCCCGAAATGAACCCCTTCGTTTGGTTTTGTAATTGATTTGACCATTCAAGTAGGCTTTCAAGGATCTCTATGATAATGAACATAACAAGTCTTTCGTCATTTAAAAAATCTTGCGTGTGTAGATAATTTTATACTGGATATTAACTAGTGTAGTTCCAGTGAACTGCGGATTTTGAAATAGTTGAGAAGTAATCCTTTGCCGAACTGGACGGTCGCCTTAAGACAACTAAAAATATTTTTCACCGTTATTGAAAGTTCATTTTAAACACTGATCTTTAAGAGGTGAACATGAATCTACTTATACACAGTGGACCAAATACAGATCTTTGTTACACTTTGTCATATTTATTGTTCCTTTTGGTTGCATTAGTTGTTATAAGAGACCGTTCTGTGCCGAAGAGAGTTCTCTTGCACCAGAAAAGTTATAAGTGTCAATTCAATTGGAAGTAATATTTTAAACGTAACTGTATTTATAACTAATACATTTCTTGCGTCATTGGATGTTGATGCAAAAAAGTGAGATTTGAGTAGTAATACTTTTCATATAAGTAGTTATTCTTCGAAGATATAAAAACATGTTGTAGAGGTTAGGCTAATTTAACAAAATATGTGGTGTTCCGCATTCTAGGTAGATTGACGAGTTGATAAATTCATTTCTATAGTTTATTAGAGTTTACACTGTACAAATATGGCAATATTTATAATAACAACCGGCCTTCTGCCCAGTGCGGTACTGTAAAAAGGTGTCGTAGTGTTTGTCAAATTAACAGTAGCCGTGCATATAGGTATAGGATAACATCTATTATCTCTTACATATCATATATGTGAAATGAAATTTTGATGTATATATTTTTGGACACAATTTAACCTTTTAATTTTGATATATGCTTAGTATGTTTGGTAAACATTTTAATTTTTATATTTCTTTAATATAACTCGTAAGTTTATTTATAGTTAACGTTACCTTGTACATAAATTTTTTCAGGACTTTACATTTTAATTTCAGTAAAAAGTTATTGATACGAAAGTTGAAATCTCTAAAAAAGGTTGTATGGTTGAACTGGTAGAGAAAATCTCCTGAAATTAATTTGTTGCTTACCTTCAAATTTACAATGCGTGTACACTTTTAAATAAACCATACAACTTAAACTTTTTCAAAAAATTAAAAATATACACCAAACCCTGTACCTACAATTCTATTTGTCGTGTAGTATCCTGCATATTCGGATCGTATATCTACCCATTTCTGAAGAAACTGTAACGAAATTGTACATAAACATAGAGAAGTAACTGAAAAAAATGGAATTGCATTTTTATAATGTGTACTGCAAATCCATTTTTAAACTTTGAAGCGCTGGGCAGAAGGAGACGTCGCAATTAATATGTGTATCGTCCTTTTCAACTTTAAAAAGCACAAACCGAGGAACAAACCTTTAGTCTATAAATTTACTGAGATAGACGCAAGGGTTGTCGATTAAATTACATGTTAAAGTTGTTTAGGAAACTTAAATTGTACACAGTATGAATAAATGAGTGCTTTTGACACTAGCGAAATTGTTATTTCTTCCGTTGTCGCTTGTGTTGAGAGTAAGGCCCCCTCACTCGTGTGTTGTGACCTTTAGCTAGTTTAGCACCTTGTCTGTGTCTCTGCTCCTCGTGTAATGTCATATGATTGTGCACTATCATCCGCCAGATGGCACCCTCACTTCTATTTTTCCACTGTACTACTTGTAAATACACTAGCTCTCGTTTAAGGTGAAGGAAAACGAAATATGCTTTTCAATTTTACAAAACTCATCGCCTGATGAAAACTTTTCGACTTTTTGTGGTATACGAATAAAATTAATAACAAAAACGAAAAATTTAATCAAGAGAAATAAATAACGTGCACATTTTTTACCTAATTTCCACAGTTTTGAGAAATCTAGGCTTCATTTATACGTTACATCTATTTTGTCATTTTTTTTTAATATTTTTACAAAAAAACTACTTTATCTCAACAACTAATGCAAAAACTGTAAATATTTTTATATTTTTGCACTGCTTTGTATAAATATCCGAAATTCTAATAGTCTCAGTCATTAACGTATTTAATAAAAAGCATCCAGCTATTTTCTGACTTCCTAATTTTTCATGTATCAAAATTAACGCACCACTAAAAATGGACACCAATTTCAAAGTTGATTTTCTCGAGAATGATTTGATTTTGACAATCTTTTCTTCAATTATAGATTTATATTTTTTGATACCACCTATTTTATTCTAATAAAGCAACTCTAACCTCGTCCGGTCAAAATGCAGATAACAACCAGTCCAATGTCGCAAGGCAAGCTTGTGGAAGGAAGCAATTAAACTTTAAAAATTGTATCGAGATAAAAATTTTCCATGTTACAACATTAGCTGCTTATAGAAAATGAAATTTTAATGTTCACAAACAATGCCTGTTACAATTAAAAATAAATTTTTCTGTCACCTTGAATTGTTCATATTAAGTAGTAGAACGTTAGACAATAAAAGAAAACTATATTGTATATTATTAAACGTTATAGTTTCTAATCAAATTCTATGCAACATATTTATACGAGTGGTGTCATCTGGTGGACCTGTATCTATTGTAAATTAGATATTCATTCTATAATATATACATTCCAAATGGAGTTTAATTATAAATATCTTCCACAAGATTTTAGTAGTGTCTTATTCCTGTCCTATTTCCACCTTTTTAGGTACCTACCACTGACAGTGGCCTTTTTTCCACTCTTTTCCCTAGACTGAAATTTATAGTTTTATCAAAAAAATCAAACTTTAATTTGCCAAGATGCACATTTTGGATTTATATACACCACTGGGATTTACCATCAAAACTATATAAAACTATTTGTCTTGAAAAGTGTTAAAACTGTTAAAAGTAACTTTAACACGCGTGTCAAAAAATGACATTTTTAACATCAAAAATGACAATTAAAAAGCCCACTTTTAACAGTTTTGTAGAAAAAATAGTGTATGATATACTTGTTAAAAGTGATTTTATTTTGTTCGTGAAGTTAAAAAACTCGCTACGCTCGTTTTTTAATCATCTTCACTCACAAAATAAAATCTTTTAACACGTATATCATAGCTAATTTTCCAAAAAAAAGGTAGGTTGCAATTTTTCTTTAAAAAAAAAACGTTAAAAATCGGTATAGTTAAGTTAGGTCTAAATCTAACGTAAATAAACTTACTCAGTGGTTTGTACTCCAATGAGTCCAATGCACGTTTGTATGGTTTTTCTTCATTTATATTATGTATATTGAGAATTGAGACAATGAAAATGACATTTTTAACAATATTGAACGTTTTAAATTGTAGGCTGCGCCATCTGATTTTAAATGGATATACTTGGAGGATTGGTCAGATATCAAAATTACAGATATCTATTTATGTACGTTCGTTTTTCATATCCAACATTAATTTTGAGCTATGTCTCGTAGATGGCGGCGACAAGAATATGTGCAAAATACTTGTACAGCCGTTGTATTCAGAACAAGACCTGTTGTTTGTATAAACATCGATAAGAACAACATTTTAGTTGCATCTAATAAAGAACAAGAGGAATATTTTAAAATATTTTGCACATATACTTTCTCTGCCATCTAGGAGACAGGTTCCAGAACTAGTGCTATTTGTCTACTTTTATTTACATGTCTCTGTTTTTAATATTTTGACAACCCCAAATACAACCTTACGTGTTGTGGTTGTTGTGGTTGTGTTTCGGAAACAGCTGTCAGAATTGTGATAAAAACTTGTATATTTAGATAGTGGAAATTACCGCTTATATATGTTGGGTATTTAAACCAAACATTTAACCATTCTCACAGCAGCTTGTCAGAGGTTTTATTATAATTTCAACTTTACGAAACTTATAATTTTCATTATTTTAGTAAGTCCTTTAGTAATAATGATCAAAAATATAGTTTTACTTTGCGTGGCTATTTTAAACGCTCACGGTAAGTTATATTTTTTTACATTTCAGTGAATAAATTAGTTTTACTATTTACCAAATATTTTTTAATAAGTTTTATGAATATTTTGTGTCTTTTGTTCTCCAGGAGCGCCATATGATGGAAATGACTGGAATGGTAAATGGTTTCCTCATTCACCTAGCGAGCCGGATTTGAATCCCAAAGTTTTAATTTCAGGAAAAAGCAACAACATACATGACAGTCGTCATGGTGTTGTAATGGGAGTAAAAAACCCATCTTGCGATGATGCCAAGGTAAAACTGTGTTAATATAATAAGTCAACGTTGAAAACTTACAATATGCTAAATTTTTAGTATAAATTAGAAACTGACTGGTACATGAATCCTGAAAATTACACCTGCTATGAGGATAGACACTTGTATATACCAAAAAATACCATTCATCCAATACACAGCATGGAACATATACCTGAAGAATATGTGGTAAGTTCAAAAATATACTTTTAAAGTTCTTGAACTATATGTCAAGTTTTTAGGCACTTCATAGATGCATGAATGAATCGATAGAATATAATGAAGCGATTCCAACATTGTAAGTAATCTTTTAATATCATTAAGTCTTTATTTAACTCAGCCTTTTTTTCTCACGATATTAATGTTTTTAAAAATATTACTCGACTATAAGTTCTTATAACATTTTATTTAAAACAGTACAAGTTTTATTACACTGAAGTTATATCTGTGAAATACCTATCGAGACCTTGAATTTAATAGTCAGCTTTTATTAGCATTTTCAAACTGTTTGTGTGTGAACAGTTACCATTAAATTTTACATTTGAGTGAGTGTAAAAATAATTACACTGTATTAAAATACATAGGTTTATTTTTATTTTGGTGTTAAATAGAAGCAATGCTAGAAACTTTGTTATTTAGTTTTTAATTTAAATAATAAAAAATTAATCGATGTTGCAATCTTTAACAGTCAGTTAACTCATAAATAAAAAAGTAAGGGTAATATATGTAATAGAAATTTTAAATTTTCTGAGAAATAACAAATTTCCACTGAAACTTTATTTTATGCTGGAAAAATAACTTATGAGATGTATTCTTTTCTTTGAAATACAATTGTGAATCAATTGAATTGATCCAATATCTAAAATTCCCTGTGACGTGAATTCTGTGAATTTTTATTTCTTTTACATCTTCAGATATATTAAATAAATATATATTTTATATTATACCCTTTGTCTTGGAAATGACACATTTTCAAACAAATGTCATATTTTTTATGACATTTATCACCGTTTAAATTTTAGCGGAAATCATCGTCCGCTTTGGGGGGCTTACGGCGAATACACTTTCTTACCCAAACAGCGTTGGTTGCACAATTTGGAGCATGGAGCGGTGGTGATGCTATACCACCCCTGTGCGGAGAAGAACGAAGTCAAAGCCCTGAAAAGTTTGGTTAAATCCTGTTTATACAGACATATCATCACGCCCTATGACCAATTGACCCCAGAAAGGGTAAGACGATAGTACAAAATACAAAATCAGATAGTGTTGTTCCGAAAGTTCTCCGAGTTTCCTGAAACTTCCTTCCAGTTCTTTGTGATCTTGTTATCCTTTTAGAATTCCATTTCTTTTTTCCTTAATACTCCCTCATCCTCCTCTGAATCGTAACTTTATTATTTTTACAATCACGCATTTTCTAGCCTCTCGCTCTGCTCACCTGGGGCCACCGCTTAGAGATGTCAAAAGTCTCCCCTGAGGTGGTGGTTAGTTTCATCAAGGAGCACGCTCTTAACGGCCCTGAACAACTTTATAGGAACGGTCACTACATGCTGATGCTCAAAGAGGAGGCCAAAGTCGTTTCTACCGTCGACGATTCCGACCTATGTCCAACCCATTCGAGTATACATATGAAATAATGCCAATCCGTAGACATAACAGTATTCTAATCATCTAAGTTCATAACCATTCCTATTTGGCGTGTTTGGAATCTCAACCAGGGGAACAGTATTTGAGGAAGAGGGGACGACTGCTATTTACACATTCTTTCCGGACTGATCTGAACAAAACCAACCTCTTCTTTACACAGTACTTACTTGTGCAATTATAATCTGTGCCATTTTACTCGTAGAAATTTAATATACTACATCGGTGTACTAGAATTATAAGCACTGGTCTACTTGTGATTATTTGTATATTTCGGAGTTTAATCCGTGGCCTATTTTTAAATTTTTTGAAGTATATTTGAACGTAAAGCGTTAAGTGATTTGTTTTAAAGCACAAAAACGAAATACTTACACTAAGAATTAACTGTTTTAATTTTGAATACATTTTTGTAACATGTACACATTTAAATTAATATATTATTGTTGAAACGGGAGCAAGAGGTTTGCAATTTTTATTTACCTGATCCTTTTCCCCTTTGAAATAGAAGTAACAGCACTAACAGCAGGATTGCTTCGAAGATTAAAGGTACTATTGAAGGGTTTTAGGTTTTAGGGAAGTAACCTTACTAAATTTAGCAGTTGAATCTGCATTGTTTCGACCAAAATAGTTCATTACGGGTACTCAAAACAAATATATGGGTTAAAACATTAAATTTTTCTTAAAGTTACCAATGCAGTACAAATTTGCTTGATACTATTAGGTACTTTAATAAATGATATAACAATTTTACGTTTTGGTAAACCAATTATATTTTGTTTGGCCTTCTTAAGAAAAAATATTTACTACTGTAAACAAATTTGTCATAAAAAGCCTACAAAAAAATCAAACAAAAATATAATACTAATAAATATTCTAGTAAGAAAATTAACAAAATTTTTAAACATTCTCTAAAAAAAGAAAACATTCTAATAAATTTAGTCATCTTTTCACTGACTAACAGCTACCACTTAAAATTCAAGAAATAAGACCTTTATCACATCTCACTGTGGGCTGTTGTAAGCGTCGTATTTTGCTCGCAATTTGGAATAGACGTTCGTTAGGTGAAAATTCACTATTAATTAAACATAAAGTTTCATTGAAATGCCTGGAAATTATAAATGAAATATTGTATTTCAATCAACGGTGGCGCGGCAGAAAAGGACTCTGCAATCGTCTTAGTCCTTAGCCTGCATACAGATGGCAATACCAAAACGACTGTTTAAGTATAAATCTAGACTCTAGAGTCTAGACTTTCAGTCCAGTTTCTTAAAACGCAAAATTTGAAATGATGAAAAACTAACCGGTGATTTCGGAAATAAGTCTGTGGAGTTTCAACTTCAATTGTCAAAGAGAGTTACTTGGCATTGCAGGGATCTTTTTACAGATTTGGATAAATCAACAATCAGCCAATAAAATTTTTGTGGCTCTTAATTTTCTTGTTCACGGTAATCACGGTTAAAGGTTAAAAAAAGACATGACAAAGCTTGGTCTCATTTTTGGTTAGCGGAATGAAGTTGAAAATTAGCATTTGAAATTGCATAAATTCGCATATATATATTTGGATTAAATGTACCTAGTCAAACGAATAGATTCAGCCTTGCTTTAATAATGCAGTACAGTACCTACTGACTGTTGAAAAATTGGAGCAAAGTAATTCAATTTCGTCGCTGTTGACGAGCAAAGGTGAAAATGAGAATAATTTGAAATATTGCACAAATTCGCAATTATGTATTTAAATTAAACCTAGTTAAACAAATAATTAAGGCATTCCATAATATTATACTTCCAATTTCCAATTATTGAAAAATTAGAGTAGAATAACTTACTTTTGTACCTAAATGATTTGCTGCTGACGAGCTCGTGATTTATGAAAAAACTCAAGGACCACAAAATTTTTGTTTTCAAATGTTTGACATGCGAATGTGGAAAAGGAGACGTTACTCTTATGATTTTTTTTTTGTTTTGGTGACAAAAGCTTTTCCAATATGGCTGTACAGGAATATTCACATAACATTCTATCTAGAAAAAACGGCGAAGCTAAGAAAATGAATCTTGCATTTCCGATATGCAAAGGAAGCTATTTTTGAAATGAAATGAAACAAATGCAATTCAAAGAAATTTTTTTTTTGAAATGAAATGAAACAAATGCAATTCAAAGAAATTTTTTTTTTGAAATGAAATGAAACAAATGCAATTCAAAGAAATTTTTTTTTTGAAATGAAATGAAACACCCTGTATATGATCGTTTTTTTGGATTCCTGTCCTTTTTACAATTACAGTGACATTTTACATAGTATTTTCTGACTCTAAACAATAGATAAAGTTGTGGAGACAGTGTATATTTACGCCCTTCCTCTATTAAATTTACTAAACAGACCTTTGAGACAAAAAAGTGCTATACCTACCTACTATAGAAAGTTTGTATAAATAAATAAACCCATTGTGTTACAGACAAAAAACTTTTTGGTTAAGTTTTTTATGTAGATATAATTTTATAACCTAAAAGATGTCCGCTTAACGAAGTTAGCTCATGTTCAAGGTTATTGGCTTTTTGAGCGACAAGGCCTCACGTTGGGCGCCATGTCGCGGAATAGCTCCCGTCACGAGCCTCGTCGTTCTCTGGGATTTAGGTTGACGACATCATTCTTGGTCAATATTGATTAATACGATTGAAGCTGTTTGTGGCTGGTTGGAGCGGCTTTGGGATTTTGGAAAGATATGTAAAATTTCCAATTTCCGAGCCGCGTCGTCGCGCTGGGGCTTCGGGTCCTTTGGACATCGTCCTTGACATGGTCCTTGACCCTGATTACGGATGATTTGACATTTGTTGGCATGGAAAGTGTGGTGAATTTTCAAAACTCGAGACTAGTAATACTACATATCAACCTGAGAAGTTCGAGAGAGGGATTTAACATTCAAAAATAACCTTAAAAAATAAATCAATCACATATCCGAACATAAATTTCTCGCTGTTTCAGAATCCGGGGACAAAAAAATTGTATTACCATATAAAACGTATGGGTATGGTGGTTCCGTCTATCACACTTTGATTTTTTTTAATCGTGGGGCTGAGTAATTTATCTGACTTAAAGGACTACTACTACTACTATAGTACGATCGTATTCGATGCAAAGTAATAAATCATTGCCTGTCAAGGGAATCAGTGCAACACATTTTATAGGGGGTTTTGGAAATTAAATAATTTTTTTATGCATTATGGATTAACAGTTATATATTTATGAAGGACAAAATGAAAAACAAAGGCATCTCCTTCGCACATTGGGCGGCAGGGCAACAATACATTTATTACTCCCTAGTCCCTTCATTCTCCCTCATATGACTTGTGTCTTGTGTTTTTTGCGGCGGCGCGCGTGCCGGCCTGGCGTGGTCAGTTTCGTTTCGGTTGTATTGGTGCTGCGTGTTTCTCGCTCGCGATATTTGTGAGGTTATAACTGTTACAAGTGCAATTATATTTCTTTCGGGCTATATGTGTGTTTCGCGCTATTATTTGAGAATTTGTGAGTGAAATCATATTTCTTGTGCTCCGTAACAAAAGTGTTTTTAGTGTTTTATTTGTGTGCTGTGTGTGTGTTTCGGGTTGTTGTTTGTGAATCGTGTAGTGGAGTGAAGTTTTTTGTATTATTATTGCTCTGTTATCGTTATATGGAGAAATTGAGGCGGTGCCTGGATGTTCGCGAGTCGGATGTACTACTGTGGGTACAAAAAAATCTATATTAAGTTACAGAGAAAAAACGATAGAAAAGGATCATCCCATGAAACTGAAGACTGGTTTGGTGGAAATGTGTTCTAGATATACTGGAGTAAGCGAATTATCTGTTTTCAAAATTTTAAGAGAGAAGAAAAATAAAGGAGACGTTAAGAAACCTAAAAAAGGGGGGTCGAAAGAAGAAATTAATATTAAATGAAGATGAGAAAAATGCAGTTCGGCGTACAGTACATAAATCATAGAATTTATATTTTGTTTATAATTTGTTAACATTTCTTGTTTGATAGAAAAATAACTTATTTTGTTGAGATTGGTAGATAATTGTTGTTAGTGTTTTCATTTGATAGAATCATATCATAGGATTTATATTTTGTTTTCATTCTGTAAATATTTATAGTATATCTGTTATACAAGGTTTTTGCTTTGAAACTTCGTTCTCCTTATAAAAAAAAGAATCGTAATGGGGTGCGATGAAGAGATCAGTTCGCGTCTGGAACCCTGTTCCTACAAAAATCCCTTTATTCTCATAAACTATTTGTTTTAAATGTAATTTATTATAAATCCAATTCGTTATTTAAATTCCACATATGTACTACATTTCACCTCTGTACGCGCCACTGTTTATTGTTCCCTGCTCTACGATCAAGCTCGCCAGGTTAGTATTTGACGTATAACCGACCACTTCGTACACTCGATGCACCTGGCCGACTATAGCTAGTACCAGAACACAGTGCGTATGCGGCGGTATTTCAGATTTTACATTCAATTTCATTTTAAATTTGAAACGGTTCATCTTACGCCTCCTAAAAATGATGACACGATTTTCCTTTGATAAAAGACCGACAATTTTTTGCTCTACTTTGCATCGAATACGATCGTACTTTACTTCTATCAATGAGGTGGATAAAAAAGCTTGCTTAAAATATATTTCGTTTGTCTAGGACATAATGAAGATGTTATAAACCACTTTTTAAATAAGATATTTTTTTCTCAATGAAGGATTTAAAGATAATTAGAAAGGTTACTTAACTTTTTTTTAAATAAATATTTAGAATATTTTAAATTAGATGAAAAAATTCATAAGTTAAAGTTTAATTAAAATACAAAGTGGCCAAATCTACAGACACGAATTTTAAGAGACAATATTTTTTCGCTGTCACGTAGACGCTTCTAAAATATAAAATTTATATATATTGGATCCCCATGCTTGTGTTAATTATCTAAAATATGCCAGTAAATTATCTCGATACGTCGTTAAAATCAAAGTAGAATCGTGAAACCTAGAACTGTACTCGGGCAGGATAGAAAAACTTTTTATGCCTCTATAAAAGTCGTTTTCAATCAAATTTCTTGTAAGAGCCGGTGGACGGCGGTCGAAAATACGATTCGGACTTGAATGCCTGGTAGTTTACAGGTCCCCCTGACACTTCGCTTTTGTCGGGACAGTTTAGCTGCGGGGGGTAGCAGCTACGAGACGGGGCGCTTAGAAATTATTATCCGCCGGCGGTGCCCTTTGTTTCATGCCGAAATATATTAGTTTTTTTAATCACTTTCCTAAATAAGTTCTGGGTTTTAGACGGAAAGCTTCGAGGTAGGAGAGATTGTTTAATTTGGGCTACGAAACAGAAATAGTATATCTTTACGTAATGTTTATAGTCTTAGTTCCGTTTAAATTTCAAATGTGTCGTCTTGAATTTCGATCATCAATTAGTTAATTTGTAAAAAAA